GCAGTTTCGAGGTCGAACAACATTTGCCGAACTTGTGATTCGCTGAGTTCATCAGACGCTTGCATCGCGTTCAGTGTGTTAAGCCAGTTGGTAACCTTTTCCTTGCCTTCAAATCCAGACGGAATCAATGATAAGCGATTCATTGTGTCGACTAAGTCACGCAATTCCGGATGCAATTCGTCCATGGCTTTGATTTCCAAACGTAATTTATCCATTAGTGTAATGAACAGCGACACAATATCGGCAATGCATTTGCTGGTATTTCCTTTGTCGTCTTTGATCGTAATCGGGCGATCTTCTTTGATGCGCTCCAATGCGGCCGTACAGTCCAGCCGAAATTTCTTCACAAAGGCGTCCACTGTCTGTGTAAAGAAAAAAAAGATCAATTGAATGTCAATGGCTTATTTTTTATCCATTCTTCCTGTTCCAAAATAGTAATCATTCATTGCTACCAATTTTTGAAAGCAACTCAACTACTTACTGGGTATTCGTCGCTCTGTACTTGTTTGAAGGCCACTTTATATTGCACCAATAGCTTTGAACATGATGCGGTGTACTCTTGTGGAGTGATACAATCCCAAATGTAGGCTTTTTCCAGGTTTTGCAGTGTATTTATCAATGCGTACAATTCAGCTGCGTTATCATACTTTTCACGTTCCCGTGCATTTCGATACAATTTCACCTCTTCATACAATTCGGGATGGTTGTCTTGCATTGTGATTGCTTTTAAAATTCAATATTGTCACAACCAAATCGACCAATTTGTTTTCGGTTTTAATTTGACACTACACACTTTGTTTCAATGACTATGACTCAAAATAGTGTTTTTTTTTTATTAATCGAATATTATGACAAAAGACTTTGTTTTTCACGCGAATGAAGTGAAGTTGGCAGCAGTATGACAGCAGCAAATGTCAAGCAAATCAGCAAAGCGGCATCCAACGGAAATAGCGCCAACTTCAAAAATATTAAACGTCTTCAATGTGACGACAATAGCTCACGAAAAAAAAACAACAACTGAAAAAATGGGTCAATACAATTAGAGTCCGTTGTTTGTGCGTTTGCGATATATTCGGGGAATTCTCTATCATTTGACCGTGAAAACAAGACGATAAATACGGAGAATGCAATGAACACAGAATAATTAAATCGAGAGAAGCAAAAGAAAAAACTATATGCAATATATGTGTATAGACTTGTTTTGTGCTCACCTTCAGCTATGAAAAAAAAACTATGTGCGATGAAAAATCGCATGCGTAAAAGCGCAACAAAACACTCAAAATGACGCGTATTCATTTGGACCGCGAGAGAGGGATAATTGAGAATGATTTGCTGAGAAAGCATATTCGACAGAGTTATTTGAATGCAAACTAGTCCGGAAATGGCCATAGACAATGTGATTTATAATCATCTCGTGTAGCTCTCAATCACGAACTTCCGTAAATATTGGAGCGAGTGCTTGATATTTACATATTTCAATATTGCCAGAAAGTAAAGCCCCGTTTTTTTTCTCTCTCATTCTATCGATTAACACTTAAAACACCAGATTTCGTCTTTTGTTTTATCAATTTTTTTTTTATTTGTTTAACTGTAAATATTTACAATTCACCTAAGTAAAAATATTTATCTGCTATGATACGATATAATGAGTTCTAAACGAACCCAATTCAATTTCAATCACTTAAACTTAATTTTAATGAGAGGGAAAAAAAGTATGTTGTCGTTGTTGTTGTTATTTTTCATTAAACACTCTTTTTCCCATATTGAATCAAAACGTTTTGTTCCTAGTATTGATTCGCTCAATGATTCACTGTGTCAATGAGCAGTTCGAATACTGTAAATGCTCTCTCCGTTCTCTAGATTTTTATTTTTTTTTTTTTAATTTTTTGAAGTATTAGTGTATTTGCAAAGATTGTGTTTAATTGCTGAAAATTGCTATTTCGATTTATCGAAAGTGTCGTGAATTTGATTTACGATAGTATCGAGAAAAAAAAGGCCACATATTTATTTACAGTACATTGTGTGTCAGACACAAAACACATTTCATTCTATCGATTGGCTTGATTGGCATTTTTGTCCATGCAAATCTCATATTCTAATAATTAGGTAATAATATTTTTCTTTTGTTTAGGTTTTCACAGCGTATTCGATGTTTCAATATTCTTCGATTTCATTTCTTTCTTCATCTTCTTCTTCAAATCTACTTATCTATCGTGTATATTATAATAAAACTAAATAAACGGTTTTGCTTGTTATTTTTTCTTCAATTCCTGCCTGTTCAAAATGCCACAAACCTGTCCTGTGTCGGTGGCGAGCTTAGTTGAGTTCCTTTTTGTTAACAGAAGAGATTCTTCTATTCTTCTGAAGAATACACATCGTACAATAAACTATCGTAATTCTAATCGTTAAAAATTTGTCGGAATTAAAAACTGAGAGCGATAAACCTAATTTGTAAGTATCCAAGAGTTGCATGTGTTGGTTGGTTACTTGTTTCTTCCAACATCTTATCCAAATCGATTTTTAGATTTAAAAAAAAAAAAAATCCACTTGAATTTTCTGCATATTTGTATATCATCTTGCTTCGCCTTTTCAATCGATCTTTGATCGATTTTTTTTTTCTCAACCTTGTTGGTTAGGTATAGTAGAATAAATTAAAGTATAAAATTAAATTAAGCCAAAAGAAAAAAAATGACGAAAAATTCATAAAGAAAAGAACGAAAAAGATATTGCGCACACACATAGAGGGCGAGAGAAGAGTGTGTGAAGTGCGAGTACGTAAGGTTATTTACACGGGAACAACGACTTGGCCGACTTTACGTGCTCGCGTCGTTGAGAATCCTTTGCTGCCGTCTGGACCGATGGGAGTTCTAACAAGATTTTCACTTTTGTTGATTAAAAAACTGTTGCTCCTCGATCGTGGAGATGAACCGTAATCGGAACCGTTTGAGAATTTACGCTCATAGCCGGAGTCAACGGACGTTTTTCGTAGATCACCATTTGAATATTTGCGTGACATTGAATCATATGTGCCGGAAATTTTTCGATAGTGATCACATCCATTGCTGCCAATGGACATTTTACGATCGTAATCACCGTCGAATGAAATTCGTCGGCCACCTTCGGATCCATTGGACATGCGACGGTCAAAGTTCATGGAAGCATTTGAGAAACGGCGACTGTGATCGGAACATTGTGAAATTCGGCGGTATTGGTCCGAACATTGTGACGAACGGCGTGAGCATACGCAAAAATCGGAGCAGCCAGACATGCGTCGATTGAACATTGGTGCATCCGAACAGTTTGATGTACGACGTGAATTATCCGAACAGTTTGATGTTCGTCGTGATATTTCGGAGCAACTGGAATAGCCTTCCGAGCAATTTGAATATTTGCGTGACAGATCATTTGAGCCCATCATTGTGTTGCTCAAGCGTCGGCCAAAGTGTTCGCAATTCTCATTGTTGAATGAATACTTCCGTGGACTTTGCACTGATTCCCGATGATGCATTGACGTTGGTGACACCGATTGTGAATTTTGTGGTGATAAATTGTTGCACACATGCTCCGGTTTCACATAAAAATTGGAGCTATTGCGACGCAACTTGAAATCGGCATTATTCACCGGTGTGCGATTCCGTTCGCTATCCGAGTGCGTGGTATTCGCATAAATATAGCTTTCTATCAATTTCGATACACTAGCCTTTTTACCAGTTTTCTTTTTCGGTGCAACCATTTCATAGAGATGCATACCACCGTTCGTTTCCACGGACATTGCGTTGCGTGCCGATTTTGATTCGGTGAACTCAACGAAAGCACATTCTTTCTGATGTAATTCGGGGTATTTGTTCATGAATTGTCTTACGTCGGGTGGAATTTGTCCGCCCGCATGTAAGATACGAATCAATGCGATTTCACCGAATTTCGAAAAGATTTCCGACACCTTTTCAATGGTAACCTTGTCCATTGGCAAATCGATGGCGACAACTGTACGCGACGGCATCGTCTCATCAAATACGGGCAATGATTCGATACGTCGAATTTTCGTGCCCAAATCATTGACTTCAATGTTTTTACTTTTCAATTTAATGGCATAGCCAACGACACGCCAGTCTTTTGTCAATTGGCGCACTCGTTTGAAGCTTGAAATCAATTTTAAACTAACAAAACCTTCTTTGTTGCGACGAACGTGCTTCAATAAGAATGCATCTTTCAAAATGTTTTCGTTGGAGAAATAGAATTCCACTTGTGTGACAATTTTTTCGGCCATATCATCCGTTGGAATTTCAATGGGTTCGTCGTCTTCGTCATCGCTCTTGATTTGATGCTCTTTGCTATGTGAATTTTCCATCGATTGTTGTACATCACACGAATCTTTGGCATTCTCATCGGACGACACCGCATCCGAGCTATAGTCATGGTGTGCCGAACCGCTGGAATCACGGCGCCGTTCAAATGATAAACGACTATCACTGTCAATGGACGAATCCTTTGATTCATTTAGGGCCGAAGTGCGAAAATGTGAAGCACCCGGATGGAATTCCTTCAGATTGTTCAAACTTTCCTTGAACAATTCACGATGCTCCAACACGGTGTGATTGTCCATAATCAATGGCGATAAATGATCAACCTCTTCGATTTCCTCTTGCTCGGTTTCAACATCGATTGGTGTATTTGACAATGGCACCTCATGCATCTCCTCTAGATACGCCTTCGACACATTTCGAATGTATGCTATGGTATTTTCACACTCATTGACTTTGTCGCTGTCACTATCCGAGCCCGATGAAAAATCAGATGTCTCCGACTCTTTCGCCTCAGCAGATAAACGATCCTGCAAATAAAATAACAAACAAAAAACAAAACCAAATAAAATTTAATCAATTGGTATAGAAATAAATGATAATATTGTGTGTGTGTATGTGCAATTGTGCATGAGTAATGTAGAGTGAACGATATATGTATCTCATCCGCAAATCGAATCGCGAATTTAGTGCGCGCACGCACGCGCCTCTTTTTTTTTCTCTCCATTAATGCATTTCATTTAAATGATATTTAACAAACACCTCTGCATGCAATCAACTAGCTCTCGCTAAATAATAGATCAAAAATGTGTCCCATTTAGATTCAAATTCGTTTCACATACACACCGAATATCTCGCTCGCAAACGCAGCCTCAACCGGATTCATTTTAGCTAACTAGTTTCGGTTTGTGCTGCGATTTATAGCTATTTTGTGTGTCTGCTGCTGCTGCTGCTGCTGCGAATGCTGTTTGCTCAACACATGCTTTACATTATGTACGCTTTTTCGTTTGATTCGGGTGCGTAAATAAAAAGTGCAAATTTATGCGAACATTTTGTTGTTGAAGGTTTTAAATTTATTCATTCGATCAGTTTTGATTGGAACTGTACCACAGCAATTATCGTCACAAGAAACATGTATGCCAAATGCTCTTGTACTCCAAACGCAAGCGAGTGAGCGCGCGCGCGTGTGTGTGTGTGTCACGCTCGACATGTTCATTCAGCGACACATGCTACTGCTTAAAATCTTCCGAAACTTTTGCAACGACATTTTTGCCATGAAATTCTCGTCAAAATTGTTGCATTCTACACAAGAACGCAATAAGTTCACATGGAAATTCTGTTTTGTAAGCAATTTTCCGCGGAAACTTTGTACATTTTCTCTCAAGGTCGCATCGAAATCGGTTTAAGGGGTAGCACATTGACGATGTGAAGCGATTTTAAAAGTTCTCTGGTTTGCCCCTTGAACACGATATTATTAATTTTCAAGCCAATATCGGTTTGTCAGAGTTCACAAATACTGCAACGTGTCTGTCGATCGAAATATTTATGTAGTTTTGTTTTTAAGATGGAGCGGGACAGACTTTAAATTTGCGCTCATATATTCTTGGCAATTTAAAAATTGTTCGTGCCGTTTTTGTTTTTGTTGTTGTTGGTGCAAGCAGCAATCACAGCAGCCGCAGATTTTTCATTTGACTCTTTAGGGAGTTGAATGTGCGTGCGTGTTAGAAAAGAATGACATAATGTAATGAATGGAATTAAGTAGATCTAAATGTTGCTGTTTTTTTTTTTTGTTCAGAGAAAAAACAACGTCGACGTCAACGAAAAAGAAAAATTGTCTGAGAAAAAAAAAGAGTCGCGCCTTATAAATCGACACTGTCCTATGTACTAGTACAAAGTAAATGTATGAAATGCACAGTATGTGTGAGCGTGCGCGAGCTGAAATTGATCGAATGAAAGGCCAGATTCAGACAGAAAATTAAGCGTTTCGCTTATAAATAATATCGTACGCACGTTTACGTACACAAAACTTGAATCAATCGGCATTCATTCGATATGCATGAAAACGGTTTGGCTATATTTTCGGTACGTGAAATATATACTACATGCGAAAGAAAAAAAAATGAATAATGAAAAAAGAAGAGAAGAGAGAGAGAGAGAGAACGAGAGAGGAGAGAGAGAAATATGAATTGAGCGAATGAACGAAACGAATCGAACGACGAAAACAGCAGAAACATTTAAGTGTCGAACGTTCGGCTGTTCGTTTGCCTCATTTGATTGCCCAAAAAGAGAACAAAACACAATATATATTTATATATATATAAGTAAACATTCACCGCGAGCAAGAGCAATGAAAGCGAAACCGAAACTGAAATGGACTGGAAATGGAGCATGCTTGAAGCGATATGATATGTCGAGGGAAACTGTATTGTTAATTGAAGTGAGCACAAATCTCTTTTTTTCTTTCTTCTTTTATTTCTCTCTCCCTGTGTGTGTATGATGAATTAAGCCAAAATATATTAGAGAGATAGTTAGATATAAAGACCTCATGGAATGCATACCTGTGTCCGAATTGGTGGAATCGTTTGAGGTGCTGCTATCGTGGTTGTTGTTATTGTTGTCGTCGAATTCATTACTGTATCAGCACCAACATTGTCCAATTTTTGGTTGGATGATGGTGGTGAGTCAGTAGTTGAATCACTTTCACTTTTATTTATTACCGAAACGGTGGACGGAGTCGTTGTTGTGACGCTGCTCGTTGTTAGTTTGGCGACAGCTGTTGCAATTAGTGATGCAGATGCTGTACCGCTCATGACCATTTTTTGAACGACACCAGTGTTTGGCTTCTCCAGCACGTCCATATTGTCCGAATTATTACTGAATTCGATTAGATCAACTGACTTTTGTTGTTGTGTTGACGACATATTTGCTGTCTTGTTGGTTGTTGGTGTTTTTTTTTTAAATTGAGTCTCTTGTTTTGCAACGAGAATCTATCTGAACGGATTTGTTCTATCAGCTCTCTCGATCGATCTATTCACCGATATATCGATATATGCAAGTGTGAGTTGTACTTGACTTATTCACACAGAAGTGATCAATCAACTGAGTTGCATGTATGGATTGTTCCTTTTGTTTGAAAATGCCTTAATTTAGTCAATGCGATGCGATGTGATTCGTGTTGGACTTGTCGCTTAGTTAAGCCTGTATTTGCCTTTGGTATGCAATTTTTTTTTTCTCGCCTATTCTAAACGATATATCCGAATCCAATTTTTCTTTCGCCCCGTATAAATATTTAGAGTTCAGTTATTTTATCCGCCGAACGAATCACTGTTCTCTATTCATTCGATGTTATTGTCTTTCTATGTACTTTCACAAAACTATCACACGGTTGCTGTTTTTTATTTAGTTAGGTTTGTCTTTTTTTTTTTTTACTTCGTTGAGTTGTTGTGTGGTTTTTTTTCTAATCTTTTTTTCGGGGTCGAAATTTCTTTCTGTCGTTTTATTTTGTTTGTTAATTCGTGTATATATTTTCTTCCTTCAGAAAATATGCGCCGATTTCAATGAAAGTGTTTTCGCCTCTGTATTTTTTTTTTATACCGTTTACACTTTACTGCTATTTACTATTGTTGCATTGTTGTTTTGTTTTCGCGCAATAGTTCAGTATGAACGTATAGTCACCGAGTATCTCTCTCGTTGTTGTGTTTCTGTGTGAGGAAAACTGCGAATGAAATTTAAAAAAAAATACTTTCTTTTTTTTTCTCCGCGAGTGCTTTCCTTTTTTTTATATTAAATTTTCGGTATTTCGAATGGAATATCGTTTTATTTTATTTCAGCTTTTTTTTGTCCGTTTATTTTTGTGTAGCAGTAGTTTGCTGTTGTTGTTTTGTTTCTTTTTTGTTTCTCTCGTGTTATTTCACTGTTTGTTCACACAAGAGGCCACAGAAATTAGGATTTGAGTCAATAGATTACTTTAGAAACACACTGTATGTAACCGTTTATAAAGTTTGACAATGAGACGCCCGTTAGTTTGTATGGTGCTATTTTTTGTCGTTTTGTTTTCTCTACGCTATTTTAAGTATCGTTTATCTGTCGAAAAGTCTATTTGATAATCGAGCAGACACTAATTCTTTGTTGGTTTTAACTTTTAACGTAACAAGCGCAGTTTTAGTTTGTTTTATTTTTATTGTTTTGTTTTTTTAAATTAAATTAACTGAATTGATTTTAGGAAATCTTATCGGTCTTTTTTTCTGGCATCTTCCGCGGTGTTTACAATTTAATTAAGACGATTTGCTCGACTCGTAAATTCACCTATTTTTTTTTTTCTTAAATTGTTGTTGTTGTTTCGAGTGCAGTTTTTTTCTTCTCGCTTCTCACCGTGTCTTTGAATGTTCACTTCTGTGGGTTTCACCGCATTTGCATTTCTGAACTGAAATTGATGATACTGTTTTGCACAAAACTTTGAATTCGTTGACAAGAAAAAGTTCGACTAAAATAACCGTTTTGTTTTCGTTTCGTATTTGTTGGTTGGTTCGTTGATTGTAGAAATTTTGCAAATTTAATTCTTCCTTCTTGACGAGAGTGTTTTATTGTTTTTTATTTGTTGTTGTTGTTGTTGTCCGCCGACGACGAAATGAAGCAAACAATACAGAAAAAAAAATAACGTTACGAAAAAAAAGAAAGTAAATCCGAACACAATTTGAAATATCTATATACAGCTCTTGGGGAAGAGAGTGTATGAGAAAAGAAACGAAAAATAAATGAGTGAGTGAGTGTACTTTCGATGGATACGCTACAATAATTTTCAAAAGACTGAAATAGTTGAGTCAATTAATGCCGGTTTTATACTCATGGCTCCCACTACTCACCACATTTTCATTTATTTTTCATTGTGTGTCTCTGTTTCGCTTGCTTTCACCTATTGGCACAAACCATGTGCCCGACTGAGTGCCAGCTCTTGCTCTCTCGATTGGTGTACACACTCTCTCACTGTTCGCTACACGTTTGTGTCATGTGGATACGAATCATATAGACTTTGCGTTGCTTTGTTATTTTCATAGTTTTTTGACGTTCATATGTGTGGTGTATATGCGCTAGGGTACCGAAAAGCATACACAGTCTCGGAGCGCATTCAGATAGCAAAATACATTTGCCAAATGTAATTTATATATTACAAACACACAAATCTTGCATACACATCTATGATGAGCACAAGTACTCTTCGCGTTCGCATCCAATGTACACAATGACAAAAACGACGTGCGACAGAAAATTACACAAATTATGTGTTTTGCGTCGTGTGTGCATGTTGCAAATCATTCGAAAATGTTCGCCTCTACATGTCTCTTCCGAGTTGCCAATTATGAATATCATTTGCAAGGGAACAAAAAAACCACATACGTTTTGCCAAAAGTGCATTTGATGTCAGTTCAATTTGGAATAATGGCAAAATTTGAAAAGAAAATTGTTTCTTCTATTTGAATTGACGTACAAAGAAAAGGGTAAAATCATTATCAAAGCCAAGCAAAAGACTCTCTTTTCGTTTGCACACTCGCTCACGATATTGCTGGTGTCCGAAACAAATTTTCTGCAAACATTTCCCAAAAAATGACCCAAAGCTGTTTGCAATTTAACGAAATTCACTTTTTCACTCGAGCGCCGAACACACAAATTAACCGTTTAAATTGTCCATTTCGAGAGATAAACAACTAGAAAGCCTATATAACGTCTATAATTTCAGTCGACAACGATGCAATTCGATTGCTGTCGACGCCTCACAATCTATTTAGTTCAGTTGGCGGCAGCAAATGGAGTCTAACGGTCATTCGTGATTTATAGATCAGACATCTCAATGGAAAGGCAGCATAATAAATCGTCATTGATATTGATGCACATTTTAGTGCTTGTTTTGGATGTTTATCGCTGGAAAGTGGTGTTTTTTATCGTCTCTATTACGTTGTAAGCCGCTTGTTGTTCATATCCAATGTCCGTTGGTCATTGTTGGTGATCCAATGATTGTCAAGGGAAAATATTGTATAACACAAATGCTTATGTGTTCGTTGTAATAATAATCGCAATAAGTCATAGTAAGTGATAGTAGTCGCAAGTGTTTGTTTTTTTCGCTTGTCTTCACAACTCCATGTGCCGCCGTATTCATACATATCGACCGATTCTATTTGGAATGAAAACTTTGCTATTTCGCCAAAAATAATTCAAATTTTATTCGACTATTTCGGTTGTGGCTAATCAACACTCAAACTGTTGTTTCCGAAGAAGATCAGCCGTTATCTTGGTTGGTTGACTTGTTTGCTTGCTCTTTTTTTTTTGGAACGGCATGCGTCAAAAACTTAACGAATGAATCATTTTCGAGTCACTTTAACACAAAATGAAGAGAGAAAGAGAGACACAATACACGAGCCCAATTTCGTTCACAATGTGAAAATTAAATGAATTCGTTTACGTCGACCAGTAAATCAGCATTATTGGTTAGACGCTGTCTTTTTCATTCGCTTCATTTGTCTGTCTAATGAATGATAGAGCGATCTGATGGTTTTTGTTGTCTTTGCCGACATTTCTCGAGCAGGTAGAAAAGTTTTGTGTGCGAATATTATTTCATTCTGTAGCCAACCTTCAGATTAATATTCCATCAATATAGGTTGGTTCGGCCGATTCATGTACAGTTTTAACATACTGATGATTTCATTAGCATTCTTTAATGCGTTTTAAATGCTCGTGCACCAAAACCACACAACCGTTTTTTTTCCCCGTTTGCATCGTCCGATAAGTGTCACTTGATTGTCACTGTTCAGTGTTCAATTTTGGGCAATCAATTAGATCTTTGTTAAGCAAATGCACAATGTTTCTATTTGCACTACGGCGATCTAATAAATTCCCCGAAATTCATCCAATTACATTCGGATTTGAATCTCCTAATTCAATAAATGACACGTGAAGACAAAAAAAATGAATGAAAGAAAAGAGTTAAAAACGAAACAGCTCAAAAAAAAATAGATTGAATGTTGAGAAAAACAATTGTTCATAAAGAAAACTGAAAACATCTTCGATAAACTTATTAAAGTGTATTTTTGCCTGTTGGTGATCGACGATTAAATTGACGATAGAAAAATATGCAGAAACATATTTTGCATTGGCTTTTTGTTTACACAGCCTGAGGGCATCCTTTGATAAACTATATTGTCATTGTCCGGTTGTTACCTCGGTTCATGTTGAAGGTGTTACATGTTCCATATATTGCCTGTCGTTTTTTTGGCATTCAATCGTTTTTTTTTTGTTTTTTTTTTTCATTCCATTTTTGAAAAATAAAAACACACCGAGATTTTCCACCGAATGCCAGGCATAAAATTAATGATTTTTTTTTTTTTTAATTGTATATTGCGTGCGTCGATGCGGTTAAACTTTGAAAAAGTCAAGCGCTAGCTGCCGAACACTAAATGGTAAATCACGAAAAATATTTAAATAAATTATGATGACGTATAATATGGGATATGTGTATACGTGTTTTATTGTCGATGATTTTGTGTCATTGGAAGCGTTTTCTGTCATCACGAATGAGAATCAGCGTTCTTCTCTCACTCACTCTTTCTCTCTCTCTCTCTCTCTCTCTCTCTCTCTCTCTCTCTCAGAGCGCATATGTTGTTTTCAAAAGCATCGCTACAAAGATGTTGCCGCATGCACAATGTGCCATACTCTCATTGCTCGCAAATTATATTCTATTCAAGTAATTCTGCGAATCCTTCAATCATCAGTTTTAAGATCACCATGAAGGAAATCGGAAGTTTTTTTTCTTAATTTTAATCTGGTGATCTTGAGATCGCGAACTGAGAATGACAATTTTTTTTTTTTAATTTCGGCTAGAGTTTCATTTTCTGCCAATGAAAAATACCCGTCTTCATCCCTTTTATTACAAAAACATAAAAAGAATCGTTGCGCTTGTCGAATTTGAAGCGACTTGTGTGACCAACATTTTGAAATATATGCAAATGAACGTATGCGTGATATAATTACTGTGTTGACGATCAAGTACGCACGATTTTTGACCGTTGAATTATTCCGAATACGTTTACACGTACACGGGTTCTTTTGCTGCTGCTGCTGCTGCTGATGTTGCTGCTGTGAATATATTTGAAGCGTGTATTTTATCGATCGAGGAAATGTATGAAATGTATTACCGAACCAGAAAAAATAATAATCCAAATTAAATGCAAAATTGTTTTTGTTGTTGAAGATAAAATAATCGATGACACGATCATGGTCACACATACACCAAAATGGCTTGCGCTACTTGAAATTTTTTTTTGTTCGATATTTCTTTCTATTTAAACCGTTTTTTTTTCTCAAATAGGGTAAATGAAGCGAAAACTTCATTAGCATTTAAATTTTCTCGGCGACCTTTTTGTTGTTTGGTTCTATCAATGGCCAAAATAACAAAACAGCAATAGCAAAACAGCAGTGACAATTTCTAGAACATCTTCTAATATTAGTTCGACGGCGGGCCGCGAAAAAAAAAATATGTTTGCGTGAGCGCGTTTCCAATGGAAAAACAATGCCATTTGAGCGATACAAAAGCAAACATAAGTGCCAATTTCACCAAAAACACATATCAAAAAGACGTCAATTTGAGCGATGGGTGAAGGCTCTACTTTGTTTTAGATCGTGTATTTATGCGCTTTGTTTCGCATTCACACAAACACTCACACACATCATCGCCGTGCGATCAGTCCATTGAAGTCGATCGAAACACTGGGGAGTTGTGAGTGATGATCATATGTACTTGCGCGCCTCTATACCATATACAGAATGCTATTTACACATTTGACACTATTTTTTTTTTCTTCTTTCTGTGAATTTGAATGTGTATTTGCACGCGCTTGTCTCTCACTCTCACTCAGACTCAATTTTTGTTTCATCTGCTGCTGCTGCTGCTGCTGCTGCTGCTGCAAAACGGCTGTTCAAATATAACGATATAATTGTTATTAATTTTTCTACATAAATTAAGTGTCTATTGTGCGTATATATATATTGTAATTAGGGAGAGCGAGAGGAAAACACACACACACGAGCACACATAGAGAAAGAAAATTAAATCGTGTGGCACTAAATAACCTTGAAATTTCAAATACCCATGTTCTTTTTCGGTGATGAAATGAAACGGCGAATTTTCGATTACCCGTTGCCATATAGCTTTGCCAAGAAAAAGAAACAACATTTAAACGGTATTTGTGTAACTAAAGCAAATAGTGCTGAGCAGACCTGATGCCTCGGGACGCTATTTGCCTACGTTTATCTTACGAATCCGTGCAAATTCACGTGTAGCGCAAAACAAAACAATCAAGTGGTTTCTAAGAAATCAATCGCAACAAATGCAAATATTTTTCGTTTTATTTTCACCCTTCGCCCCCCGTTTCTGGCCCAAATTTTGATTCAAATAACAAACAAATAATCAATGTGAATTCTTGTGATTCTTCTGGAAACAAAAAAGGAATGCGCAATCAATTAAGACGGAAAATATTGTCGAATGTCTGCATTGCTGCTGTGTGCCCAAGCCTAGCTCCCGAATCAATATTATCACAACGGCATGTGTGTTATCTGCCACAATACCCAGTATTTACGGGACAATTATTATCTCCGACAGCGCGGATCAGATTTGTGGTAATTCAGCAACAGCTCAATGATCTGGCGCATAATTTGCAACACACACACGCACACACACACAGCAGATGTTTTGTTCAAACAAAAAATTATTTAATTTACATTTTCAAATGACGTTGCATGTCACTTTCAATAAAATCACTCCAACGCAA